TGGGCTGAGCCCAGACCAGCCAACCAGCGCTGATGGAGCAACTCCTGTGGGCTGTGGGCCTCACCTGGAAGTGCAGTTCCCTCCCCATAAATACCACCTGAGTCCGAACTGCTGTCTTCTCCTCATACAGACCAGCCCAGGGCCCCACTGCCCTGGGGCAGAGCTCCGAACCAGCCGGGGAACCAGAGGCTCTCTGGAAACTGCTCCCTCCAGCTGCTCAGTGAGCAACATGCGGTTTGCGAGAATCTGAACGCCATGAGATGCAGGACATTTGGGGAAGTCTGTCAGGGTGAGACTCGATATCCTCATCATCGTCAACTCCCCGGGGACTGACTGGCCACCCCCAGGTTACCACACACTCAAGAGGACAAGGGAAGTTGTCTGGAGACCCAAGTCACAGCTTTTTCTACGTTGTACACAAAAGGCGTTGATATGATGAAGACAGGAAACACAGAGGGTGCCACTCGGCTACGTATAGTAGGAAGGCGGCCCCAGCCACATCACGCAAGGCAGTGGCCCTGGGCTGACCGTCAGCATGGTCCAGCCCTCCCCAGGCCCGGCCTCCGGCCTCCACCCTCCACCCTTCAGATGATTCCTAAGGAGACCCCAGGTCTCTATAACCTAGCTCTGCACAATCCATGTGGCCCCTCTTTAAATCCTTATTTATAAAAAATATCAACTTCCTGCCATGCCAGCTGGACTGCCCACCCCAAAACCAAGTTGGACATGGGCCCATCATGGAGCGAACGCTGTGCTTGGGCCCCAGGGCCCCAGTTTGAACAGCTCTCCCCTCTGGGCAGGCACGATGGGGCTCATCCCAGGGCCTCCTGGAGCCACGGGGCTCCCTCCATGGCCGGCCTCCCCGCCCCCGCCCGCCGATTTTCCTCTTCACCACCGCAGGGTTAAGTGCAGTGACTCAGGCTTGTTTATGCCCTCTGGCCGCCGCCAGCCTCTGCAGATACCACCTGGGCCCTGGCGCGACTCCCAGGCTGCACAGGTGCCCTGAGCCGAGAGGCATGGGCACCGGCACGCGCACCTATGATTATGGACACCTGGGCCGCAGAGCAGGGCGTGTGTGAGTGTGGACACCTGTGCCGGCAGGTGGGGAGAAGGGGTGGGGGGCGTCACTCTCCGGCATGGCGAGACAACCCAAGGCCGAGGGAGGATGCCAGAGAGGTGTGTAAAGATCGTGGCGGCTGGGGGGTCAGTTGCCTCCTGGGCCTGCTCCCCTGCCTGCCTTCCACTACAGCCACCACCCCGGCCTGCACCCTGAGGTTCCAGAATGACGGGCAAGAAAATGTCCACGAGAGAAGAGTCTGGGAACGGTACCGCCGATGAAGACGAAGAAGAAAATGCTGGGTAAAAGTGATGACGGGCAAGTTCGTACTTGCAGGGAGACAAAGGTGAGAGCACAGACGTGCCAGGGGAGGTCGGGCTTCCACCCTCAGGCTTCACAGCGAACTAGTTAGTTGCCAGCTGTCAGTCACTGATGGCATCCATCAGACAAACAGCATTTGGGGGCCCGACAACAAAAAATACTGCACTCAGATCACTGAAAGTCCAGTCTAGTTGAGACCAGAATTGAATTACTGGTGGTCAAATTCTGGCTCCATCACTTACACACCAAGTGGCCTGGAGCAAGCTGCCTCCCACTCCAGCCCTGGCCTGACAGGCGCCAGCACCCCCTTCTCTGCACTGCGGCTCTCCCTCTGGGAGCATGCGGGCTGTGGCACTTCTCGGGGTGTGAGGACTAAGCGAATCAAAAACATGAAGCGTCCGCCACAGGAGCGTCACACACAAGGCAGCTGCGCTGGGTTCAGCTCCCGCACCACCCACGAAGGCGGCCGGAGCGGCACCGAAGGCCGGGCTTTCCCCATCTGTCAAGTAGAGGCGGGGGGCAGGGGTGCTGAGCAGGGCTGTTAAACTTTCCAAGGCTGAGTTCACAGAGGGGCGGGTCCTGGCCCAGCGCCCAGGCTCTGGGGATGTGCGGAGCCGACACCTGCTATGAGCTGCATGTTGAGTTCCCCGAGCTCGCGTGCTGAGGCCCTGACCTCCCCGGGATGGGAGTGGGGAGTGGGTCTTCGGGAGGCAAGCAGATGTGGACGAGGGCGTGAGGGTGGAGCCCCCCCGAGTGGGAGTGCTTGCTCAGCGGAGGAGCCAGAGCTTTCTCTCGGCACGTGAGGGCATTCTGCAGTAGGAGCTGCCTCGCCGGCGCTGAGGTCAGCACCGTGACCTGGGCCTTCTCAGTCTCCAGAAAAGTGAGAAATAAATCTGTTTAAGTTTCTCATCAGTGTTATGTTGTTATACCAGTCAGAGATGATGAAGACAGTGCCTTTGACCCTGATGGAAGGAGGACACTCCAGCACTCCAGGAGGGAGCCCTGGAAGGTTCTAGAAGTGCCACCATATGAGGACATCTGCTGGGTCGTCGGGTTCCTTGACCTGCCTAGTGTTATGGGACCAAGGGAGGGGAGTGGAGAGCAGAAACATGTCAGAGATATGTCATCACCTTGACAATGAAAGCAGACAGGTGTGCCCCACCTGAGGATTGCCCCTGCCCTAGCCAGTGAGGGAGGAGGTGGTCTCCACGCAAAGCTTTTACTGGATGTCTGCCTTCCTCTCAGCCATAGCAAAGTCGGAGCACACCCAAGGCCCAAGCTCTCAGCCCCCAGGGCCATGGAGAACCTGTTCCCCTCACGCTGCAGTCAGCAGATGCCAGGTGGGAGGCCCAGTAGGCACCGAACTCTTTAAAGTGCCTGGGAGACACATGGAGGGTGCAGGCTCCCTCCTGAGCATGGGACTGGCTCAAAGCCCTTGAGGGAAGCCTGGAAGCCACCGACCCACACGTCTGGTGGCCATAACTGCCGGGAGCTATTCTCATTGTCCTCATTGGCCCTGAATAATTAAACAAGGGAAGGGTGCGCCCGAAGATCACAAAGACGCCTCCCCGCTCTGCCAGGGGCCCTGACGCCTGGCCTCATCCCTCCAGGCTGGTCCACGCTGCGTGTCTCCACATATGCTCACACGCCGGGCAGGCGTGGGTTCTGAGGTGTGTGTGCACCAAGGTGCGTGCACACACTCAAATACACTTTGAGTCATGACCTTGAGACACAGGACCGAGATACATGACCTTGAGACACAGGACCTCGTCATGACCTTGAGACACAGGACCGAGATACATGGCGCTCCCCACCACCAGCTGGCCCACTTCTGCTCTCTCTGAGGCGAGGCAGCTCCTACAAAGGGCTTTCAGAAGATCCTCTCCCACAGCCAGACACATCGTAGTTGCCTTTTTGGAGAAAATCCTCTCCAGCTACACTTGAAGTGGTCGGGAAGACAGGAGAAACTAGTTGCCTGAAGTAGCTATTTTTTAGTGTTCCTCAGGCCTACGAGCCAAGAAATCTAAGCTGAATATGTGGGAAGTGGGCTCTGGCAAACGAGGGAGTGAGAGCTTCCTCCCTCACCGGCGGCCTGTTTTATCATCTGGTGAGGAGGGGACTGACCCAGCCTATCTGCTCCCGATTGCTGGAGGCAGATTTGACCCCTTAAATTGAAGCCTTTCACAAAGCCTCACAACGGAGCCTAGTGGAGAGCACAGTGGTAAACACTGTAGAGCTTCTGACAAACAGGTGAGTTTTCTAAAGACCTCGGGTTGTCAGCTCGAGACAGCTGACGTGCCGCTGAAGGCTGGATACTCCTTTGGAAGCCGATTCACAGGCAGGCCTGAGGCGTGGAGCTGGACTAAGTCTGGACCCAAAGCATGTGAGATACTGTGGGGTCCTGGACACCTGCAGGAGGGGGAGTCCCGAAGTCGACTCACTCAGGTGCAAAGGGACAACTACAGCTATGTTTTTGGAGAACTCGGGGTGCAGGCCCCTCCGACCAGGGCAGTGCCTTGAGATTGGAGAGCAGCTGTTTGAAATCTCTTAGCATTGACAAAGTGTGTGATAGGGCTCATTTTTTTCCATTCTGTGGAATCAAAACAAAATACAAAAATAAACCGGAAGCTGGAGTGACAAAATTAGAGAGATGGAATACAGATATGGGGCATCCAGAATGAGGGAACGAGGAAGGACACTCCAGGGGCAGCTGAGGGAGCTGCTAGGCGGGCCCGGACCTCTCTGTTCCTGCCAGTCATGATGGCTGGAAAAATCTACACTTTCGATAAAAACACCCCGCGCCCCCTCCTCCCCACCCCCAAATAATGTATGTAATAGCCAGTGAAGCCCGGAGTGGACCTGGAGTTGGTAAATTACCTTATGCCACTCCACATCCCAGCCTCACTGAGATGTCACCGCTAGAGGATGTTGGGGGAGGGGCCCTGGGGCCCCAGGTGGAAGCGACACGACGGCAAGAGCAAGTCTGATATAACTGGAGATAGGAGAGAGGGGACGGGGCAGGAGGGCAAGGGAATGGCCAGTGGGGGGCGAAGGGGGGACGGAAGAGGATGAAGGAGATATGCTTTCAGGCTCTGTGTTGGCACCGGTACTCCTGAGTAGACTCATGCATTCATCAGAAAGCTACGAGCCTGGTGGCCAGGCTGGTGGAGGGGGCGTGCTCAGAGTGTCACCCATCACCTCTGGGGCACTTGGTGAGGACCATTGTGGGGAAAAGCAGACCAGAGAGCTCTGTCTCGTGACAACTGTCATGCACGTGGCCCCTCCTGTGGTGATGATTATGGGGCTCAGCGCCACCCACAACCTCCGTGGGGCAGCCTGGTAGGTCCCCTCTTGGTTTAATTTTTCACATCCCTGTTCACCTTTCTCTAGACACCTTCTGCCATGAAAAACTTCAAAACTTCCCAGGGAAACAAAAAAAGTTAAATCATGTCAAAGAACCAATTCTCAAGAAAGAGAAAATAAATAAATAAAGGCAACAGAAACTGCAAAGCATGCTCGTGGGCAGCAACACTAGCCTGGAAGTGATCAAGAAAGTCCCAGTGACCACCAGGCAATAGTGAGACATCAGCTCCTCAGACTGTCAGTCTAACTCTGAACTTACCCACAGTGTCGCACGGCTCATCCTTGTGTACGCAGAAATCCGTCCTGAAAAAACAAAATGACACATCAGGTGCGTGCAGTCCCCCAGAGAGCTGAAGGCAAGCGAAGGATCTCGGTCAGCCGTCCTCCCAGAGCAGCGTGAGTTGAGTCGCGCCAGTTAGCAGCACTGGCCCACAGTCCCCAGGCACCTCACACCCAGCTGGCGGCCCCTGTCACCACGCAGAAGCCACTACTCCACGCTAACACTCAGTTGCTAGAAGGGCTCCTTCCCAAGCTGAGAACGTTTTGAAGATGATGTCTGTTTGGCCATAGGCGACTGGTCAACATGGCCTCTCTGTAGAGACTCCCAAGCTATTCTGCTCGGGCGGCAGTGAGCATGGGGAGTGACTGAGGGTCAGCTGTATGAGAAGACAGCAAAGTCTTCCTGAAAGTTCTGCCCTTTCAAGTCCCAAGGGTCTCCCAAGTCTGCAGCGGTAGATGCATAAGACAGTGGCAATGCTGGAATCTGGCCCAACCCTGGGCCTGCAGCTCCAGAGAGACCACTCCGGCCTCTGGCTTCTCATGGAGAAAGGAGAAGTCTAGTTCCTTCTTTTCCAAAACCAGAATGGTCCTTTGGGGTCAGGAACCCACCACAGAGCTGGGTGGGGCAGCGTCCTGCGTGGGAGCTGGGTGGGGGCCGCACTAGCTGTGCCTCAGCACTTGTCCTCTCGGGCCCCGTACTCACTTCACAAGGGGGCCCAGAGGGTGCTGGGAGAAAGCACCCCCTCACCTGCAGGTCTCTGAATACACACAAGCACAACTTCAGATTAAAAGGTGTGCGCTGATGCCACTTAATCTCATTTTATTTTACAAAGCCTGGCAAAGAAGAACGGGCCAAGAGAGCAGTGTGAGGCAAGGGCAGGTCCTGATTGGCCCCTTGTGATACTCCACCCCCCACTAGAGTCCAGTGCCATCAATTCCTCCCCATTCTCTGTCAAAATCTAATCGGGGAAAGCTTTGACCTGCATTCACACCAGGCAAATGACAGTGCAGGCCACGTGTGGCCCCCGAGGCTAACAGCTTACAGTCCGCTTCCCTCTGCCTCCATTTCAGCCCTGCTCCAACCCACAGCACATTCTTGTCTATGTGACTCCAAACATAACCACATGTGCTGCTTCTCAGGCTTGGAGCAAAGCCTGCGTGTTCCTAGCCCTGGCTCTGCCTCAGACTCACCTGAGGGTTGTTCAATATTCCACCTGCTCATTCAGACCCCCAGATTCCAGATCTGCGGGTTTGCAGGATGCACTTAGATGTGCAGAAGTCCCCATCCAGGCCCAGTGCCTCAGGCAAGAGCTACCCGTGAGTCGAGAGGACAGGGCAGAGCAGGTGGCCAGGGGCGGTGGGACTGCTCTGAAGGGTGACCCCATAATGACCCCATAACAACAGAGATAGGGCCAGAGCTTGGCCAGCCCAGCCTGAAACGCACATGGCTTCGCCTACTTCGTATTTTCTAACTTTTTCATCACAAATGTGTGTATGCTGTTAAGACAATTTTAACAAAGAAAAAAAGCCTTCAAGATTTTTCCTCTTCCCCCTATATTCAAGCCCAAAACCAAAGGAGTCTCTATCAAAAGGGAGAGAATAAGGAGCTAAAAAGGGAAATCTCATGACTTGATTTCTCTGTCAAACATGACCTTCTAGAAGACTAGTCAACGGCAGTAAAGACGGCAAGGAAAAACCACTGGCTGGGTGCCTTTTCAGAACAAAAGGGCAGAAGTGTGCTACCTCAACATTCTTGCTCTGACATGCTTTGAAGTCATATGTTTTAGAAGTTACACACACACACACATGCAAAGACCAGGCTGGGCTATCCAGAGTGATGAGTGGGGTGTGTTGGAAACCTAGACCCATTACTTCACCTGGACAAAGGGAGAAAGGGCATGTGGTCATCAGTGTGGCAGAAGGGAACTGGACAGAACTTAACAAAGATGGTGGACAGCGCCTGCTCACAGGTGGGACCAGGTACCATTTTGAAGTAGTCAACTCTGTTGACTGAAGGGGGTTCTTTGAGTTCTCATCCCATGGCCTCCCTGATGACAAACACCTGGTCTCAAATGATGGCCTCTGTGGGTCATCATTGCTTCTCCTGAGGAAAAGGGAGGAGTGGTCAGCTCGCAGACAGCCCAGCTCATTGGAGGCCTGGTATGAAAGGGTCAGCCAACATGTGAATCTTCTTGCCAGGTAATTTGGCTCCTAGTCACACTCATGCCAAACCCACAAGGAACTATCTTACTGGATGTGAGACATAAGAAGGAACATTTTTGTGCAAAGTATTTCTAGTGTGGTAAGTGCAGAGTTGGGAGACAGGAAAAAGCAAGTGGAACAGGCAACACTTTGAGCTGAGGGTGTGTCGTGTCTGCTGATGGAGGTTTTGTGAACGTGCTAATCCTGAAGCTATGTCAACATTAATTTAGGTAACATTTATTGCTGCTAGGAAATAAAGAGCTACTTGTTCCCAAACCAAGACCACTTGCAAGCACTTTCCATCCGAAGAAGGAGGGAGCAGGAATGCAAATAAATAATGTAGGAAAAATTCCCACAGGTTATTCTTCTTAACAAAACATTTCATATGTACTTACACAAACCACTTCCAAAGTAGCAACCTTGGAAGTCTTGCTGCATAATCGAAAGATGTACTGTACAGCTCCTATCCAGAAAAGGTTGTAGTCCTCATTTAATTATCATTTGGAAAATCAATCCCATTCGTTCATAGTCAAATACCAACATGGTTCACAAAGGCGCCTGCTTTCTCTTCCAGCTAACCCAACCCCAAAGGGCACCACCCATAACCCCAACACCACAATCCAGAAGATACTGTACAGAGGCTCCCCCGGCTCCAAAAACCATTTCAAAGTGCCTGGAGTCACCGCGGCCTCTGTGCAGTGAACGTGTTCTCCAGCTGGGCATGAGGTTTCAAGCACTGAGCAGGGTGGGCAAACCCAGGTCCCAAGAAAGAACCAGGTCGTGGTCATCCCTTGCCCCCGTATCTTCTAATGCACCTGTGTGCCAGAGGTGATCAGAATTACGGAACAGACTTCTTAAATGTTGCCTTATTTTTGTAAACCCATCTTGGTTAAAGCAGCAAATGTCTCAAGGTAGAACATTTGAATGCTTACTGGCGGATCATATGCAAGGGTGACTGACTGGGTGTGCTTGGTGATGGTAGTGGCACTGTGAGTGCAGGTGTTTTAAGAGGGCAGGTGAGGGGGCTGCCTGGGCTTATGGTCACAGAACTTCCCAGCTGGCTGGGAAGTCGGCAGATTATGGGCTTGTATGCAACCGAAGAGCCACTTTCTTGACATGAAATCAAAGTCTTAAGTTGGGGATAACCCTACTTAGTTCTCCCTTGCACAAGTATACTTTTAAACTCAGACAAAAGAAAGCATGTTGTTTGGAGAGATATTTCCTGAAATTAAAAAAAATACCAAAAATTTGAAGTGCTATACATATGGCAACCCTAATAAAATTTGCTATTTTCAATCTAATGGATTAAGTTGTCAAAAATGTTTTCTAAAAGATTTTGATGTGAACATAGAGCACATTTTATTTACATTCTTCAAATAATGCAACCAAACAAAATCACTTGTCCTCGGAGAACTCTGAAGTGAAATAATCACATCTACTGTTGACCTTGGAACAAGTTATAGGTGCAACCTTTCCCCAACCCCCCAAAACAACTACTAATAGTCTGATGTTGACTACAAGCCTTACCAATGACATAAACCATTGATGAACATCTGTTTGATATGTTACATTTATTTATGAATTTTTAATAATATATTTTTTATTTTGTATATTTTTACATCATTTTTCATTTTTCTAACCCTGGTTATAGTCACTATAAAATTTCCATCACTGATTCACCTCTGCACCATCACCTTAGACCTTTGTGGTCTTCCCACCCTGTTTCGAACCTATTCCTCTCTCCCTCCTTGCAAAATGTCTCTGGTTTATAGTTGCCTGTTGATTTTTATATTTACTTTATTAGAATTTTTTTCCTGATCCCTTATTTGGATTTTCTACATTTCTCCCTAAGAGAGAAACCACCTGGTATTTTTCTTTTTATTTCTGGCTTATCTCACTGAGTATGATCCCTTCTAGCATTATCCATGTTGCCACAAAGGGCATGAGTTTGTCTTTTTTGATTGCTGAGGAATATTCCATTATGTATATATGTATGTATGTATATATACCACATTTTCTTGATCCAATCAACCACTTTGGGCAATTGGTACATGAATGATGAGGGACTGACTGATGACAAAGATCCACAAAAAGCTGATAAAACTCAATTAAAAAACTAAATAATTCGGTCAAAAAATGGGCAGAAGAGGCCCTCCCTGATGGCGCAGCGGGTTAAAGCACAGCACTAAGAAGCTTAAGCCACTTCCACATGAGTTCAATACCCGCCTGCCCCGGAGATGACCACATGGTGCGGCAGACCTCTCCTGACCCACCCGCTGCTCCCCTTAGCAGTGTTCTTCTTCGATCTGCCTGTTCTGCTCCCTGCTGTTTCTTGTGAATCCTCTTACCCTCCACATCTCTGGCCTGTACCCCAGTTCTGTACGAATAAATAAATCTTTAAAAAAAAAAATGGGCAGAAGAGCTAAAGAGAAGAGGAAGAGGAAATGCAAATGGCCAACAGGTATATGCAAAAATGTTCAACATCACTCATAATCAGGGAGACGCAAATCACAACCACTATAAGATACCATCTCACACCAGTGACAATGGCACATACTAAAAAAAAAAAAAAAAAAGCAACAAATGTTGGTGAGGACATGGAGAAAAGGAGCTCTCCTAGACTGCTGGTGGAATGCAAATTGGTCCCACCACTATGGAAAGCTGTATAGAGTTCCCGCAAATTGCTAAAAATGGAGCTTCCATATGATCCAGCAATTTTACCCTTGGAATCTACCCAAAGGACACAAAAACATTAATTCAAAAGGGCACCTGCACCACTATGTTTATTGTAGCACTGTTACACCTATTTAGACTGTGTTCTTACAAGAGTCGGCTAGAGAAGAAATATATCATTAAGGAAATCATAAAGAAGAAAGGATGCACTTACAGCCCTGGACCATTTGTATGGATCCCCTGTATTTACAGCACCTGTTTACCAGAAAATCTGCACATAGGTGGACCTGTGCAGTTCAAATCTGCACCATTCAAGGGTCAACTGTGTATTTCCAGAGTCTCTCAAAAACATATGCTCAATTCTTAATCCCAGCATGTGTGAATGTGACCTTATCCGGAAAGGGGCTCCCTGAAAAGCTAATCAAGTTCAGATGAGATCACACTGGATCCAGCTGGGCCTTCAGCAGACCAGCCAGCATCCTGCTGAGAAAGACATCTGATCACAGTGACAATGGAGGGGGCCTGGAGTGATGTAATTACAAGACAAGGGACAGGAGTGGTTTAAGGCAACCGCCAGGGGTTAGCAGCCTTCAGAGGGAGCCTGGCTCTGCCCACTCCTTGATTTCAGGCTTCTGGTCTCCAAAACTGTGAGAGTACATGTCTCTGAGGAGAAACTGCAGCAGCTGGCGGCCGCCCGCATGGGAGGCTCTCACTGCAGGGTCCTTGGCTTCCTTTCCTTCTCGAAGACTTGAGTCTGTAGCCTATGAAGAAGCTTAGCTCCTTTCTTCTCAGGGAGCTTCCATGTGAATTTCAGGGTGACCGCCCCCTGCTGCGTCCCCAAGAGGGCCCTGTGCAAGGTGCTCCACGAGGTCGGGCTAGCACATGTCCCTGCATGGCCTCCTCCCACAGGGAGCTCGGGGTGCCCACACTCCCCAACAGTGCTGACCCAGAGTGGACACAGCCTGAACTATAGGCCAGCTCTTTCTCAGTGAGCCTGATACTTGCTGTGGGGAGGGAGTAGATGAATTTTCTTGGAGGTGTTGGGCTCTGGGATACCCAGGACTTCAGTACTGATAGCAACAGAGGCTGAGGCTGAGTGTGACCTGGCACTGGGGGAAGTGCTGTCCATGCATTTCATCCTCCCACCTCTAGGAGGCGCTGTCATTTATCCCCATTTCACTGATGAGCAAACTGAAGCTCACACAGGAGTTCCAAGGTTTGATTTCTAAGCCTGTTTCCAAAAGATGCTCACGCTCCCCTCCAAAGGGAAACGTCTCTTCCTGCCCAGACTCATTACAGACAAATGCACTTTACCTGGTCACGAACACAGCGGCATCCACTGGGGGAGTATCGTCCTTGCCTCCTGGAACCTGATTGTTTCCCAGGTACCGTGCACCCCCGTATTCCTCATTCTGCCAGTGACAGAAGCTCTCCAGGGAGCGCTCACCATGGTGCCCGATGGACAACTTGGCCTTAAAGAAATTGGGGGGCCGTTAAAGAAGCTCCGGGAAGACACTTTATGCTCCAACTAAAGAGTCGATGTTCACTTAAGGTGGGGACAGTGTCTAGCTGGGGTGTCCTTCAGTGACGGACATCCCCAAACACTGACTTAACAGAGGTAGGCGGGTGCAGAAACCCAGAGGGAAGCCATCAGAAGGGCCTTATTTATAAGTTTAAGTGAAGATCAGGTCTACTTTTCAGTTCTCCATTTAGCAAAAAAAAAAATAAGCAGTATACTTGAGATAAACATCGCCCCTCACTTTCACACTCAGGGTCTGATTCTGATTCAGGTAGAACTCTGCTGCCACATGGGACGTGTTCAACCCAAAGACCAGAAAATAATGCCACGGTTAATCTGACAGTGGGGGAAGCAGGGGTGGCTCCAGTGTGGCCGTGCTCACTGCCAAGCCTGTGCACGCACAAGAGCCTGCTGGGGTGAAGGGACATGCCAGGGTGACAGCTCGGGGTGCCCTCTGGGATCTGAGCCGTGGGACCGCCCAACCTCTGGGAGTGGGAGTCGCCCGCCCTCCTCTCCCTGACATCCCAGGCCCCACAGCTGCCACTTGAAGGCCACGGAGGGCAGGTTGGACAGTCCCCTGAGCAGCTCCCTCCTCCCCCCAGCACCCAGCACACCCAGGACGTCACACATCCTCGTTGCCAAGGCACCAACAGGACTTACAGGCCGTTGCCGAAGCAGGACCAGCTTGGTCACTTGGATGTTGACTTTTATTCCAAGGCTCTGGTGCTGAAACATATTGTATACCTATCGTGGGAGAAAAGAGTAGGCGAGACGTAAATATGAAACCATCTTCAGTGACTCGGCAGTATCCTGAATGGGCTCCTGGAAGAGAGAAAAGATGCTAGCAAGAGCAGAGGAAATCTGATAGGCTTGGGGCTTCCTAGCTTCCCTGCGTCAGCTGGGTCCATCACTCATGACAAATGTGCGACTCATGCAAGGTGCTGGCAGCAGGAGCCGTGCATGGGAGAGCTGTGCTGCTGATGCAGCTTTCCTAGAAATCTAAAACAAAGTACAAATGAATAAAATATGTACATTTCTAAATAAAAGTTAAATTCTATTCTTTAGACTTTAGTATTAAACAACTGCACAAAACTTGATCCAGGAAGAATTATATGACATTCAAATTTCAGTGTTCATAGGTAAAGCCTTATGGGAACACATGTACGTGAGGAATAGATACCAGGTTTTATTTAAACGGCTTTCTCGAGCTAAAACATGCCTGGAAATGAGAATCCCCCCCCAAAGCACATGTGTATGATTGGAGCTGGAATGTCTCTCTCTCTCACACAGAATTAAATTAGTTGGTGAAAAAATGCCAAGGGGCCTCCGTGGTGGTACAAAGGGTTGAATCGCAGCACTATCAGGCTATCACCAGCTGTTGAGGGCCTGAGTTCGATCCCCGGCCAGGGAGTGACCCACATGGTGCAGCAGACAGCTCCTGTCTCCCGGCTGCTCCCCTCGGCAGTGCACTTCCTCAGTCAGCCTGTTCTTGCTCCTCACTCTGTCTCTGGTGAATCCTCTCACCCTGGCCCAGTTGTAAGAAAAACTCAGGCAGCTTGCAGCAACAGAGGTGGAGCTGGGAGGGCTTGTGCTAAGTGAAGTGAGCCAGGGGGAAAGAAAAACATCAGATGGTCTCACTTACAGGGGGGCATAGGGAAACCAGACAAAGGATCAGGAAAAAGACAAAACTTGCAGGAAAACCACAGACCCAAGGCCTCCAAGCTGGGAGGAGGGGCCCAAAGAGGGGAGGGTGAGCACAAGGGACCACGGTGATGGTCACGGGTGCCTGAGTGGCAGGAGAATTCGGGGATTACATGTGAGGGGAGAAGTCAAATAATACGCAAAAATGGACAGCAATGTGAGAAATTTAAAAGTGAAATAAAAATATATGATGAAAAAACTGTCCCATTGGGGCGGTGGCCATCAGGACATACTCATGTCCATGGGCCATGGCATGGCCATCCAGTCCTGGGGCCACTGGACACAGCACCGGTCATACAGATGCAATTGCACATGCGTGATGCAGGGCTGTCTTCAAACACTGCTACTGAGGCTAAGATCTTTGTGCAATTTACTATTCTTTCCTACAGGGAAAAATAGCATACATTCGTTTATACTATTCTCATTTTTTTCCTCAAAAATAAAAGAGCAGTCCTTTTTTTTTTTTTTTTTTTTTCCTTTGCTGGCTCATCCTCAGGCCAATTCTGAAGTCATGTCTTAATTACCTATCCCCAAACCTGGGTGAAGAAGGAGAAAGCACATAACTTTTTCCTTGTTTTGATATTTTGAGAACCACCCAATGGCCATAATTCAAGATTTTCCAGAAATATTCAGCATTAGGATTGGACCCAAACTGGAAAACCTCAACTTAAAACATGAAAATGTGGGAGAATGAACACTGAAAATTATGAGGGGGAAAAGAGAATTCGGAGTTGGAGTACAGGGTTTCAAGGTACAATCTAAACACTCCCTGTGGTGTCCACCTTCGCCAAACACATCAAAACAATCTTAGCCAAAAACATCAAAGAATACTGGAGGTGGAAAGAAAGAGCATGGTAACGAGTCCTCATGGTGTGACACGCACACAGAGCTGTGCAAAGAAACTCAGGGCATGCAGGTTTCAGGAATAGCCCCGGTGAGGCCCCCACCTTCCCTCCCTGGGCTGATGACAGTTCTACGTGCTCCAGACGCATAGAGAGTTGGGGTGTCCACTGTGGCTCCCTTCTGGCCCGAGGCAGCCCTGAGTCCCGCTGGTAGGTGGTGCCCTGGTGAAACCCCTGCATGAGGCGAGAGAGAGGCGCAAGCCTCTCTCCTCTCGGGCAAATGCACACAGGAGACAGAAGACGCGGCGAGGGGAGTTCTCCCGGCCCGTGGGAGGGGCAGGTAGGTACTGCGGTCAGGTGTGTGGAGCTTCGGGTTCACAACACGCTGAGGCTCTAACAGGGGTCCCAAGCTGAGGATGGCTACGATGGTCAACTCTATGTAACACGCGTTTTAATTTTAAAAAGTCGTCCGGTTAAGCCAGAAAGAGAAAGAAAAATACCGGATGGTTTCACTCATAGCAGGAGTATAATGGACCAGGCGAGAAAATAACAAAAATAATG